GTTTATTCATTCATAGTAATAATTTTACCTTTGGTTACCATTAACTACACTGATAGATCTCCTTTAAGAGTTCAGCAAATGTTAACAAAATGTAACAATTTTACGGTAATTAAAATTTCAATTTACAAAAACAACTTTAAGCTTTGGTGAAGAGCATTCATTATAAAATTTTATTAAACGGTAATAAAGAGGTAACTGACAAAGACTCTTACCAAACCTCCAAACCTGAGTCAGGCTTCTCTTGAGTCCTCCTCTTCTCAACTAGGTCTAACCTTAGACTCGGTCCTTGGCACACTAAGTCCAGTTTTAGCAAGAATCCTGCTGAGTTAGTTTAGCAAAAATTCCCCACCCTTGGCATCTGACCACCCTCAATATCTGATCCAATTCCTTATCCCCCACCCTCAATATCTTATCACCTGACTGATTTTCAGCAAGAAATTTTATAGAGTCAGCCTATCAGGAATCCCCCTGGCCTTGATGTTTTCTCTCAGTAATTTTTCACCTACTGATTCCCACCCTGCTCCATGGCTATAAAACCCCTATTTGTCCTTACTGTATTCAATGATGAGCCCAATCTCTCTCCCCTACTGCAAAATCCCCACTGCTGCAGTCTCTCTTGAATAAAGTCTTCCTTACCATATATTTAACTAGTGTCATGAATTAATTTTTTCTTTACGTTACGGTGCCTGTGACTCAGATAGTATCAGATTCATCGTGGGATTGCCAGACCTTTCAGCAAGTATTCCAAGCGTACACCTTTGTCTTCATTCCTGGCTAATTGGGGATCTAGTGCTCCAGCTGACAGTTCACTGAAGCACAGTAAGAACAGATACTGACACTTAAAGTTCTAAGTCTACTCTCTGAAGCTGACTTAGATGTCCAGGCTTCTTTGTTTGAAAGGTACCTACTGGGCTGGAAGTCTTTCTCCTTGACTCTTTAGAGTGAGGGTTTATTCCCAGACTCTAAGACCTGGTCCTGGTCTAGAAAGATTTTTTTTCCTAGCTCTTTGTTTCAAGTGAGGGCTCACTCCTGGCCTGGAAATTTTTTCCCATCTTTTTGTAAGGCCTCTCTACTCCATCTGGTCCTCCTTCTCCCACGGGAACTTCTCAGTAAACTCAAACTCTGTTCTTGAATCCCTGCAACAATATGCTTCACCACTATGGAGCTAACTCTACTTCCTTTCATGCTGTATTACTTTACTAAGGATAACTTGGAACTTCACTGGCTTCTTTGGAAAACTAAGTCTTCACCCTTCCCATTGCTTCTGCTTCTCCTTCCTTTTTTCCACCCGCAAACTTCCCTTCAGCTCCCTTGAATCCTTTAATATGTCCCTTTTTAAACCTCTAGCTCTCCATTCCTCTGTCCACCCCAGATAGACTTTTTCCTTTCTCCTAAAGGCCCTAAATGCCCTACAGTCACTTGAACTTTGGGCCCCCTACCCCCATTGGGGCTTACAAGAGACTTAGGGACCCTCAGAAGCAACTGCCTGAGGCCGAAAAGAAATACTACTTGTCCTTGTTGTATTCAGAGTCAAGCCCAATATCTCTCCCCTACTGTAAGCCCCCACTGCATGCTTCCCTCTTGAGTAAAGTCTTCCTTGCTGTCTTTAACAAGTAACAAAATAATTTTTTTCTTTAACATAAAGTCATTTACTATACAATGCTAACATGTTTTACCAATGACATACCAGAAGATGGCGCAAATTGTGATAGTTTAAATAACCCATGTTTGCAACTCACCTTAACATTCTTCAGTCCCTTTTCAAAGAGGCTAAGCATCTCAGAGAGTTTATTGTCAGAATGTACATTATAAATGGTCTGGCTGCGTTGTTGAAGCAAACCGATAATGTATTCATTTTCAATCTGCTCATGCATTTTGAACTCCTTGAAAGTAGCATACAAAGACTGCAGAAGAGCACGGAAATCGTTGTTGTTGGAAAAATTGGTTTTAGACAGCTGAATAAAAATTTAAAAAGAAAGGCATAATCAATACATGTAAATATGTACCAGTAAGAAATATTCAAATGCATCCCTGTTTACTTTTGCACATAGCAAGATACTTCCCTAAAACTTGGTTACATTAAAGTACAAGTAAAGGTAATTCATAAATTAACAAGTTATACTGTTATCATTAAAAAGTCCACTAGGCCAGGAAGATGGTGGTTTGCATTCTGAAGGGCCTGCTGATATACAAAAATGATGCATACACAGATCACATAGTTTCTTTAAATGAAAAGGATTAAATCAGGTCCCCTCCCCTTTACTACCAAGATGACAGTAATCTGTTCAGGAAATAATTATAAAACACTGAGCTATTAGAACATTATTAGATAACTCTAGGGGAGTTATTCTCTTTTAAAGAAAACTGAGATAAACACTTAGCATCTTATATAAGAAATTATCTACTTTTCTTAACTGGAAGCACTGTAATAGTGCAATGTGGAAACAGTACAGCAGAACATGAGAAAGTAAATGCACTTGAAAACACACACACAAAAAAACATCAAGAAACATACACTATATCTTCTTCAATTCTAGTATTCAACAACAGAAAACTACTATTCTGATGTAACTTTAATTTTTTACACTTACTGGAAAATTAAATTCTAATGTTTAAAATGTACATATTATCAAGAAACTTGCTTCAAGTTAAAATTCAAAGCAAAATTCAAGCCCTCCATTACCTACTATACTAAATTTACCTTCTATTATATCAATTCCAATTTCAAAATTCATTTTAAAGGGGGAAACCTGATTCGGCTAAATACAACAAATAGGTAAAGGAAAGGGGAAAAGTACTAACACCATACTTCCTAGACTTGCTTTCTAAAGTATGATCTAGTATTCCTGAAATGGAGCACAGTCTAAACTGTCTTATTGCCTGTTCTCAGCAAGAATTGTAGTCAGATGACAGAGCATCAAAACAGATAACATACAAACTCCTAAAGCAAAGTTATTCCACTATATATAACAGTTAACTAAGTATCATCTATAAAAGGCAATAGAGATTAGGCATTAAGAGTCATTTATAGAGAACCAGTTATAGAGCCAGATTCCCTAGGATCAGATCCCAGTTCTACCAATGATTTAACTGCATAACCCTAGGCAAGTTACTTTTCACTCTCAATGTCTTAGTCTCTTCTTGGGGTTAAACAGGAATAATAAAACACCTGTACTTCACACGGTTGCTTGGTACTTAATGTTAACTATCACATTTTGAAAATTAAACATTCATTTTTATAAAATCATACTTTTTTTACTTTATTCAAATATCTACTGAGCAGCTATTATTGAGCCAAGCACTGTTCTTGGTACTTGGGATACATACATCAGTGAACAAAGATCTCTGCCTTTATAGTATATATTCTAGTTAAAGGAAATAGACAATGAAAAGTTAACCACAATGTATAAGTAAATCATCTAGAACAGGGGTTGGCAATTTTTTCTGTAAAGGGCCGGACACTAAATATTTTAACTTTTGCAGGGCATATGGTCTGTAGCAACTATTTTTTTTCTTTAGAGACAGGATCTCGCTTTGTCACCCAGGCAGGAGTGCAGTGGTGCAATCAATCACAGCTCACTGCAGCTTCAAACTCCTGACTTCAAGAGATCCTCCCTCCATCTTCAGCCTCCTGAGTAACTGGGACTACAAATGTGCACCACCATGCCCAGAAAATTTTTTTTATTTCTATTTTTAGTAGAGACAGGATCTCACTATATTGTCCAGGCTGGTCTAGAACTCCTGGCCTCACGCGATCTTCCCTCCTTGGCCTTCCAAAGTGCTACTATTACAAGTGTAAGCCTACTCCCAGCCGGTAGCAACTATTTAACTCAGCTGTTGTAGCACAAAAGTAGTCATAGACAATATGTAACTGAGTAAGTGTAGCTGTATTTCCATAAAACTTTATATTTATAGACACTGAAGTTCAAATTTCATATAATTTTCATATCACTAAATATTATTATTCTTTTGATTTTTTTTTTCAACTATTTAAAAATGTAAAAACAACACTTAGCTCTTGAGCCATCCAAAAACAACAGGCAGGACATTCTGTTAAACCCATACCGTAGATTTTAAATACCAAAAGAAATGTCACAAAAGAGGATAACAACATTCATTAGTGCCTGGTCTCTGTTTTGATGCTCTGTCATCTATCATTTGTCATTTTATTGGGGGAAAAAAAACCCTTAAAAATAATCTTAGTAGAAATATGACACAAATCAAAAGAAAGCATTAATAATGGCTATAATTTTTTTTAATGGCAAAAAAGTAAATACAGTCAACCTTTTGTATCCGTGGGTTCCGCATCTAACGATTTGAACAAAAAATGATTAAAAATATTTTTAAAAATTCAAAACAATATAAAATAATAAGCAATAAGTACAACAACTATTTACAAAGCATTTTCATTGTATTAGATATTAAAGGTAATGTAGTAATGATTTAACGTATACGGGAGGATGTGCATAGGTTATATGCAAATACTATTTTATATAAAGGACTTCAGCAACTGTGAATTTTGGTATCCATGGGGGGTCCTGGAACCAATTCCCCATGGATACTCAGGGAGGACTGTAATGCCCTGACTTAAGGAAAATATTAATAACATCTTACAAGACATGCAGGAAATTTTGTATATATTCTCATAAGACTATTATAAAGTCTTTTAGATTTAACAACAGGCTAAAGCCTAGTTTCATGCTACAAAATGAGAATCAAATTAGCTACAAAAAGAGATTCTACATTATAGAGTCAATCCAGCATAGTGATTAAAAGCACTAACTCTGAAGCCAAACTGCCTAAATGTGAATCTGTTCTGCCAGCAAGTCATTACATTTCTCTGTACCTCAGTTTCTTCATCTGTAAAATAAGGCTAATAATATTAACTACTTCATAGGGTTCTCGTGATGATTTATAAGTTAACATATTTAAAGAACACAGAATATAAGCCCTACCTAGGCATCTGTAAGTCTTACTTAGGCTTTTCTGTTGTTTTCCTGTATTCAGCCCAAAATATTAATAAAATATCATTAGAATTCCTTAGAGAAATTGGTACAGCCATTATAGAAATCAGTATGGAGGTTCCTCAAAAAATTAAAATTAGAACTACCATATGACACAGCAATCCTACTTCTGGGTATATGTCCAAAGGAAATGAAATCAGTATCTCCAAGAGATATCTGCACTCCCATGTACACTGCAGTATTATTCACAATAGCCAAAATATGGAACCAACCTACTAACAAACGGATAAAGAAAATGTGATACACACACACACAATGGAATATTATTCAGGCATAAAAAAGAAGAAAATCCTGACATTTGCAACAACACAGATGAACCTGGAGGACATTATACTAAGTGAAATAAGTCAGACACAAAGACAAATAATGTATGATCTCACTTATACATGGAATCTAAACAAGTAGAACTCATAGAAACAGAGAGTAGAAAAGTAGTTGCCAGGGGCTGGGGGTTAGAGGACATGAGGAGCTGTTGATCAAAGAACACTAACTTTCAGTTATAAAATGAAAAAGTTCTGAGCATCTAACATACAGCATAGTGACTATATAGTTAATAACACTGTATTGTTTACTTGAAATTTGCTGTGAGAATAGATCTTCAGTGTCCTCATCCCCCGCCCCCCTGACACACACAAAGGATAACTACTTGTGGTAATGGATGTTTTGATTAATTTGATTTTGGTAATCATTACACAATGTACATGTCTATCAAACCATCACATTGTACACACTGAATATATACCTTTTTTGTCAATGATACCTCAATAAAGCTGGAAAAAAATGACCAATAGATGAAGTCATACTCTTGGTGGAGAACAGAAAAATGGTTTGTACAACAGGCTGAAGAAATGAGTTTCATCTGTATTAAATCCTCAATACATGTTTGTTGATTTGATAAGTGAAAACAACGCAAAAAAGGTGGCGGGGGGGGGGCAGGGAGAGATGTCCCTAAAGATACTACCCAAGTCAGTTTGTCTCCACATGAAAAGTGCAAATGTTTTTAACCTGGTACCTAAAGTTAGTAGATTTAGTAGTTAAAAGAATAACCAGAAACATACAATTTAACTTTTTAAAAGATCTACTTATATGAGTAGTTTTTAAAAATTGTGTTTGCCTCTACAAAGTTATACAAATACATAGGCTTGTTTGAGAAAAAAATAAACGTGGACACCAATAATTTCTGGAACATACTGAGGCCTATGATGTGCTAGGCACTACACTGGGTGTTTTCAGATGTTTTTAATTCTTAAGACAATCTAGGAAGCAGGTATATAATAATTCCCATTTTATAGATTTAAAAATTGAGGCTCAAGCCGGGCGCGGTGGCTCACGCCTGTAATCCTAGCTCTTTGGGAGGCTGAGGCGGGCGGATTGTTTGAGCTCAGGAGTTCGAGGTTGCTGTGAGCTAGGCTGACGCCATGGCACTCACTCTAGCCCGGGCAACAGAGTGAGACTCTGTCTCAAAAAAAAAAAAACAAAAACTGAGGCTCAGAAAAATAACTTACCCCAAATCATATACCTAGCAGACAATGAAACACAGACCAAGCCTCAATGACTCTAATTAATCTATGCTCTTTCCACAGATACAATGTTAGTCCCATAAATAAAGGTAACTTTTCAGATCCAAGAGAGTAAACTGTCAGAAAGAACACTTGCTCTAAAGCAACAGCTCTCACCAGGGGGGCAATTTTGTCCCCTAGGAGATAAAGGGCAAGGCCTGGAGACAGTTTGGGTTGTCACCACTACTGTCAACTAGAAGGTAAAAGCCAGGGATGTGGCTAAACATCCTACAATACACAGGACGACCCCCACAACAAAGAATCAGTCATCTGGCCCAGAATGTCAATAGTGCTTCAGTTGAGAAATGTTGCTCTGGAGAAGTGTTTTTCAAACATTGTTAACCACGACTTTCACTATGCAATATAGTGCAA